GGTACTGAGTGTGAACACTCAAATTCTCTTCACTTGTCTTCAGAACAAATCCATATTTTACTCTTCATACTCTTGTTTCAAGAGGCAGAAGTATCTCAACTCTTCTCTGAGGATTACTCTATATCATAAATCCCAACTTTTTAAGATCTCCTTGGGGACTTTTGGCTCCATCTTTTGGCTTGGTCTATAATACAGTCAATATCTTCTATGGTGTAAAAAAAAAGGTATTCTTTAGAATTCTTACTCCTTCAAGCCACTGTTTTGTCCTGCTATTTGCATTTATTACTGCTTTTCACATACAAATAAAAATGGAGAGGAAGGGATTTCTTTTCATCTTAATTCTCTCTAACCTTGCTTCTACCCATATTACTTGACCAGATCCCTGGAAGGTTACCATTAACTTCCTGTCACCTGAAGTGGAAACTTGTAATTTGCATCACACAGTGTCTGCTCCTGGCATTACTGCCTTGATTTCCTTTAGGATCATCCTTTTCCTCACTTTAAATCCATGTGACTTAGTTTGATTGACCTTATCCTTAGCATTGAGGGCAGGCATATAATCTAAACACAACTCAAACAGACCATAATGCTAGGGCTTGTGACAGTCATGGGTCCTCATTAGAGCCCATCAGAACTGATACTGGAAGTAAAGTTGGAGGTAACTTATAAGACAAAGCTCTTTATTTTTATATGGACTTGGACTTGAGTGGATGTAGGCTGAGACTGCTGCTGCCACCATCTTGTTACAATAAAGGGCAAGTCTGTCAGAAACGAGAGAGATGACAGGAAGTGAAGCCAAGAGGTAAAAGAAAAAAAAAAAACAAAACACCAGAGAAATGGTGTCCGATTTCATTGAGCTCCTAAATGCAACCAAATCTCATAATGGAACTACCCTTAAATTTTACAGTAATGTGAGTCAATAAATTCTCTTTGTTTCATTCAGTTAGGGCACTGTGGTTTTGTCATTCAACACAAAAAGCAATAATTTATAGATTATCAAAAAATTTCATGGCTAATATTTAGCAAAACTAATTCTTCTTCTTTTTTTTTTTTTTTTTTTTCAAATATGCACTATTCTTCTGTCTTGACCCATTATTTTCTGATCCTTTCTTTAAACCCCTCTGGTTCCTTCTTATGTATAGCATTATATTACAGAATTTCAGAATTAGAATGAATAATGAATAAAGAAACTAATATGCATTGAGATCCTTGGGGAAGGGACGTTTTATATGTGTAAATACCTGTGGAAAATGTAGCTGTACTTTTGGAATTATGTTTGGAACACCAACTACACACACTATTGTTTAAAATACTCTAAAAGAGATGCCATATGAAGATGCAATAGTTGTAAATTTTGACTGCATGCTATCATTTCTATTCTGAATGTAAAAATTGAATATTAATGAAGTACAGAATGAAGGTTTTCATAGCAATACTGTCTCTGATTCTAGTTTGAAAAAGAATGGGAGAACTGTATTATTGCATTTTTATACCAGCACAGTTTCTGGAAAGCAATTAAATTGCTTTGCCACCTCAGTTTTTAGAAAGCAAAAGGTTAGAAAATACAATAAAACTGACCATTACTTCCAAAAAGAACCGAAAGTCACTGGACTGTGAGATATTTGAAATCATATCAAAAAGCAGAATTTATGGCCCTACAAGTTATGAAAAAGGAAATTGAATTGTGTTTTATTTTTAAAACACAACCACTAAAAAGGTGTTTCCATAGTAACAAGGTCAATACCAGTACCCATTACAGACCTTCCTCCTTTCTGATAGTGGGTTTAAAGATCTTTTTCAAATACTACTTTAAAAGCCCTGTGAAAAAGTACAGCTTTTCTGATCATCTGAACCAAGAATGAGGAAAAACACACATGGAGTATTGAATTTCTCATGTTTTATGGATTATGAGCACTTGTGGCTGTCACATTTTCAGAAAGAAGCCTGCCTGACTAGCTACTATGCCAACTCCCGAACATGGGATTTGATTAGCCTGATTGTAAATCTGGACAAACAGAAGTTGTTTGCAGTAGTATTCAAACAGAAATAAAAGATGCTGCAGTATTAAAACACACACACACTTCTTTAACATCTAAATATTGAAAGAGTTAAGTAAATAATCCCTGTTATTAGAAAAATTTCAAAGGCTCAGATAAAATAAGAAATCTCTGATAGAGGAAGGTTACAACGATACAGGCCTCATTTTGTTTACAACAGAAATAAATAGCTCTTTGGCCATAAAAGTCCAGTCATTTAGCCCCCCAAGAGGCCTCTTCTTTCTCTTTCCTTTGTATGAAGATGCACTGCCTAGATGATGATCATATGTAAGATATTTTATTTCTTTTTGCATTCAAAATAGTATCTTACATAACATGTGGTATACAAAAGATACTAAAAAAAGTAAGTGGAGAATGAATCATCAAAATTAACAATAAGAATTACTAAAATAACACAAAATCTCTGGTCTATTTTTAGAAATGATATCAGTTAAAAGTACACTCATCATTTTAATGCCTTTAAACCAAAGGGCTCTACATCATGTTCACAGACTTGTAACTGTTAAATAATGAATCCAATAGCCTGATCCCTGGACAGATTACCTCAGAACCTCTGCAGCTGGGGTGCCTGGCATCAACATGTTGAAAAGCTACTCAGGTAATTCTAACGGAAAGCCCAGTCGAAAAATCATTGCTTTAAACTGTTTTCCTGGAGCTCAATTAATGAATAATTTACTTATCTCCAACTTGTAAGTCTTGTTTTCCCCCTCCCCCTCAATATTGTATCATAGTCATATACCAAATCTATAGGACTTTTTGTTATAACCTAATGATTTATTCTCTAGAATCACTTTTCATAATAATAGCTTCAATTAAAATGGTTGTCTTATACCATTTAAAATTTTACCCAAAAATTATTTATTGAATTCTGTTCAATATATTTATTAGCTTTTTGTTGCTGTGAATTCGACTCGAAAATCAGAAGTGAATACAGTACCAACATAATAGATACTACATAAATGTCAGTAGAATTTAGTACATAATTTGGGGCTTTTATGCTTACTTTTCCTGGGCCTGTAATGCCTTTTACACCCTTATCGATTTGGAAAAGTTCAGATTCATCCTTCAAACCATGAAGATCATGTTTCTCTTCCTCCAGGAAGCCCTCTCTGATTCAGACAGACTTGAGCTCTCTCTTCTTTGGCATTGCCACTGCCCCTGTGTAGGCTTCTATTTTGCACTCCTCTGACTATACTGTCATTTCTTTTTTGTTTTTAAATACGTCTCTTCTCCCTACCTGTGAACAACTTGCAGACCTCTCTCCTTGCTTTCTCGCAGGGCACACTGAAACAGCTAGGAACAACAGGCATTCTGAGCTCACTCTACGGAAGAGTAAGCGGCCACACTGAAGTGTACAAGGTGCATTTCAAAAACGCTATTGTAATGAACTGAACTGGGTCCCCCAACAGTGTTGAAGTGCTAACCCCCAATGTGATGGTATCTGGAGATGGGGACTTTGGGAGATAATTAGGTTTAGATGAGGTCATGGGGGGTGGCCACTCTTGATAGGATCACTGCCCTTGTCAGAGGAGACAGCAGAGAGTATGCTGTTTCTCTCACTTTCTGCCGCATGAAGACACAGCAGGAAGACCAGGAAGAGATTTCTCACCAGAATCCAATCACACCGGCAGCCACCAGAACGATGAGAAAACAAATTTCTGTTGTTTAAGCCTCTCACCTGTGGCATTCTGTTCCAGCAACCAAAGCTGACTAATACAACTATGAACTGTGATTAAGTTGTTGGAAGAGAACATTCATATAAATATCATAGATAATGATACCTTTCCCTTTTATTTAAGTCCTTTAAAAAGTTAAGTGTTTATTTTTACACAGAAAAGGCCATATCAAATACAATTAGACTAGACATTTCATAATTCATTCCAAATTAATTTGAAGCATAATCTTTGGTATTTACCTGACATAACATATAGTAAAAATTGAAGTGATTTTTGTAGAACAACAGTTAATCAGTAGGAAAAGAAAGCTACCTTGGGGGCCACATTATTAATTATAGCTATTCATGAGGTTATTTTTTTTTTCTCACTGATAACATTCACCGAAGACCCAGATTGTCCCTTGCACTGTCCTAGACATTGTGTCTCAAACTAATTTTATTTTGTCTTATTTGGGATAGAGAAAATAATTAAGGTCTCATGGAAACTCCATAATGTATTATTTATTTATTTAACTAATATTTAGTTTGCATTATGGGAATCTAATTTTGCATTTAAAGCCAATTTAGTTTATTTCATTTCAGCATTCTCTTGGGACTATGCAGATAAACTACCCAGTCCTTACCAGGGAAATTTATTCTGTAATCAAACAATAAAAAGTGTGTAGTTTAGATCAGCAGTACCCACACTTCGCATTTCATGGATGAGTAAATAAAATTTAAGAAAGCTATACCAAATTGTCAACATTTGACCAACTAATAACATTAAAAACAAATAAATAACCACTATCATTCCTCACTATCAGTTCACAAATGACAAAGCACTTGAACACAAAATAACTGAAGAATATAGTCTTAGTAGAGAATAAAGAATGGCTCTCCATGTGTGACTACAATGTGACTACATGTTGTTTGACGGCAAAAAGCATCCAACATATTCTTCACTCATCTCCTTTCAGCCTTGACTGGTGAAACTTTGTTAAGAACAAATCTATTTCCAAGGTTGATATAGACCATCTACCATCCACCACTTTTCCTCCTGAGTGCTCTTCCTAGTTCCTATTTCTCACCATTCTCATCAGCCATGCAGAGCTCAAGGTACACATGCATGTCTACTTCAAGGTAATTATTTTCTCTTATGTTGTCAAATACTAAAGAAAAAACGATGGTTCTGGTACCACAATTACTTTACATTTCAGAATGTATGTGAAATAAATATCTGTGTGAAGGTTATAAAAGGCCAAGCAAAGCAATATAGCAACAAAACTTACATGTGTGGACTCAACGAAATCACCCTTACCACTGTGAAGCAAACAATCGTCGTTGTTAACACTGTGGAAATAAAAGAGATCTGCAGAAGAAAAGGTAAAGATACCATCAGTTCAGCACAGAGCAGCAATTTCCAACCTGTGTGCCACAATAATTTTTTTTATTAATTAATTTTTGTTACAGATGTTTCTCCTTTTCCCCCCACTGATTCCCCCCTCCCCCTCCCTCCCTGCCCTTTCCCCAGTTTGTTGTCCATGTCCACTGTTCATGCATACATGCATATAAGTTCTGTGGTTTATCTCTCCCCCACCACCCCCCTCTTTAGGGGATTGTCAGTCTATACCCCACTTCCACATCTCCGGGACTACCCCATTCCTCAGACTGTTATGTTCATTATATTCCACAAATAAGTGAGATCATATGAAACTTGTCTTTCTCTGTTTGGCTTGTTTCACTTAGGATGATACTTTCCAGGTCCCTCCATGTAGACTCAAAGGATAAGAGATCTTTCTTTCTTACCGCTGCATAGTACTCCATTGTGTATATGTACCACTGCTTTTTTATCCATTGGTCTACTGATGGACACTTGGGCTGTTTCCAGATCTTAGCTATTGTAAATAGTGCTGCTACGAACATGGGGGTACGTATATTCTTTCTGATTGGTGTTTCAGGCTTCTTAGGGTATATTCCTAGAAGTGGGATCACTGGGTCAAATGGAAGTTCAATTTTTAATTTTTTGAGGTAACACCATATTGTTTTCCACAGTGGCTGCACCAGTCTCCATTCCCACCAGCAGTGAACTAGAGTCCCCTTTCCTCCACACCCTCACCAACACTTGTTGTTCGATGATTTGTTGATGGCGGCCATTCTGCTCTCCTAATTTATTTCTTTTACATCTTTCCACATTTCATACACGCATTAAAAAACTTAATAATACATCAAATTAGAGGGTTCTACAAAGTCTTCTGCTGGTGGTGCTCTTCTTTCCCTGGATGTAAAGTTTACTTTGTAAACAGACAAATGTGAGGCAATCTATAGGTATTTCAAGCCTCACATTAGTTTCCGGAGTGGGCTTCAGGTCTTGCTTTGCACATCAATGGTTCAAAATTTATAGCTGCAGAACATTCTCAAGTCATGAATACTTAGGTGTCTGTCAAACTTGGCCTTTTTCTTTTTTGTTCAGTCTCATTTAGCCTCTGTTTCATCTGCTGCATCTTCTGAGCTGTGTTAGCTTTTCTGTCTTCTCGAATTCGTTTCCGTAGAATACTCTCACTGTTCTCTTCCATAGTATCTTGCATTTTGGAGGATAGTCCTGTATATCTGTCACCTGTCAGTCTTTCTTTTTCTAGCCCTATCCTGTTCCCATTGTATTTTTCAGTCATTATCTTGGTTGGTGAGTGATCAAAAGCAGGACATAAGTCTTCTTTAGAAAGTTCTTTCCACCGTTTCTGTGTATTTGAATCTCCCTTTATACATTTTGCTCCTTCTATTATAGTCATATATGAAAATCTGAGTTGATCTGGTGTCTGAATAAGCCCCATTTGATATTTTCTCATATTCAGTAACAGTTGTTTAATGTTAATATCATCTCCTTTTCCCATCAGAACAAGACAGGTATCTACCAGAGAAAAGGTGCCTGACCGCCCAATGCCTGCACTACAGTGTATCACTGCAGGCCCATGTTCAGGATTCAAGGAACCAGATTCTCTCACTTTAAATAAAAAATTGAGGAATGAAGTTGATGATTCAGGAACTCCAAAATCTGGTCAGGTAGTATAATGAAAGTGAGATATTGTTCTGGTTTCACCACTATTGATATTTTCTAATTGCAGTAGATGTACTGTATAATATGACTTCACATCTTCTGTCAAGAACTTCACACTGAATCCTGTTTCTTTAAACAGCATCTCCCGGTCTTCCTTTGTTGGCCAGTACTGTGCACGTTTAACCGATTCTTTCTCTACAACTCAGTTTAGCATAACAACAGCTTTCGCCTTTTGCTGCCAAATCATGAGCCAGAAATGACAACCTGTATTAGGAAGTGGACCCTGTGTTAAGATGTAACTCCTTTGCGCTTCTTCTATGTCAACTAAGGTGGCATTAATATAATCATTTTCAGTATTTTGCAGTGTAACACGACTGTGATCATATGGGCTTACATCTCTGTGTCTGTTTCGATTTCTATTTTCTGGAAACTTGGACACTCTATGAGGATAGTCAAGGGACTCATTGCGAATTTCCAAGTACAGCTGCTGCCAACGATTTTGAGCATCCAACTCCTCAAACTCCCGCTCGATGGTGCAGACATGTCCCCTGGGGGGAGCTAGCGAGAGCGGAGCCTGCGCCGGGGGAGAGGCCAGGCCCACGCACGATCCGGGCGAGTGCTGGCGCTGTGGCCCACAATAATTTTTAAAACATGCGATACCTGACTATTTAGGTACTGACCTCTTTCTCCTTAGATTGTCCAAAAAAAAAAAAAAAAAAAAAGAAAGACCGTAGCCAACAACAATAACACTCCAGTGTGCAAAGTTATACCTATTTTTTTTGTCATATTGGCAAATATGTATCTTTTGGGCTGAAAAATTTTAGTAATTTGTTTATGTGTGCCATGAGATGAAAGAGGTTGAAAATTGCTGGTATAGAGATTATTTTATTGAAAATATTAGGTGTTTCTCTTTTTACTTGAGTATGTACAGTTTCAAATACAATCACTTCGTGATTATTCTTCTAGATTGGGTTGATAGTCTCAAGTATGTAACTTTTTATCAGATCATAGTTTTAGTTTTTTTCCACTCAAATAGGAGACCCGGTATCATATATGACTATTATAATCTTGCAACATGGTTTTACATGTTTTCACTGGCTTCCTGTGTAGACTACAAAACTGATGATTTTCTTTTATGAAAATAAATTATGTTTATTTTTCTTCAGGCCCAATTTTAGTGTTGACTTATGCTTTTTTTCCTATCTATAGTTGCTCCTTCTGCTTCTGTCTTTATCTTACCCCTACCCTTTCAACCCAACAACCTCTTCCCACATTTCTGGGGTGCTTCTGCTGTTTCCTTTTTGTTCTCTCGCTCTGTTCGTGCTTTCCTTTCTTTGTGATCTTGCCGTGTGGTCTGTGCTTCTAAGTCTTCTTTGACTCCTCTTCTCTCTCGCATCACTATTTCAACTGGTTAAAATATGAACTGGTCAGTGTGTATATGTGTTCTATGCACTTGTTACATGTTTATTTCTGAATTTTTAATGGAGGAACACATTTTAGATTTTTCTCTGATAAGATAAATATAATACAAATTTTATTTTATTTCATTTAATAGTTGTTAACCTTGTTTTCTACATTGTTAGTCTTTAACTAGAAAGAAAGTTCTATTATGAGGCCATTTGATCGACTGAGGAACAGAAATATTAACTAACATTACTAAGGTCACATAGCCACTAAGAAAGTGGCAAAGGACGAACTCACATGCAAGCATCCTGACTCCAGACCAGGGTGCCTAACTAGCCTGCTTTGCTCATTAGGAGATTTATTTAGACATTTCAGTATGACACTTTAAAGGGACATTTAGGGCAAAAATGTTCAGGTAATAATATGATGGAATACTAGCAGTTTTCTTTTCATAAATTTCTTGCCCTCTGCTCTGTGAAGGCGACAATTTTGTCTACATTGAATATGTGAATGGAAAACAGCCATTTCAGATATTTCACCATGAAAATCCCTTTTTAATACACTCTTGTTTATTTCTAGATGACTGTTAGGGAAGGAAGGCAGAATAGTCAGAATATTCTGAAATATCATCACCATTTTCAACTGTACCTGAAAAGAGGGGCTTTTTAACTCTGAACATATATTAAACACCACAGCAAAAAAGTAAAATTCAATCAACTGCTGGATTTTTCAAAACAGAATATAAAGATATAATGTGGCTGCACCAGTCTGCATTCCCACCAGCAGTGTATTAGAGTCCCCTTTTCTCCACACCTATGGAAAACAATATGGTGTTACCTCAAAAAATTAAAAATTGAACTTCCATTTGACCCAGTGATCCCACTTCTAGGAGTATACCCTAAGAAGCCTGAAACACCAAGCAGGAAGAATATATGCACCCCCATGTTCATAGCAGCACTATTTACAATAGCTAAGATCTGGAAACAGCCCAAGTGTCCATCAGTAGACGAATGGATAAAAAAGCAGTGGTACATGTACACAATGGAGTACTATGCAGCGGTAAGAAAGAAAGATCTCTTATCCTTTGAGACGACTTGGAGGGACCTTGAAAGTATTATCCTAAGTGAAATAAGCCAAGCAGAGAAAGACAGTTTCATATGATCTCACTTATTTGTGGAATATAATGAACATAACAGTCTGAGGAATACAGTAGACCCAGAAACATGGAAGTAGGGCACAGACTGACATCCCTCAGAAGAGGGGGTGGGGGGGTGGGAAGAGATAAACCACAGAACTTATATGCATGTGTGCATAACCAATGGACATGGACAACTAAGCCGGGGATGGGGCGGGGAGGAGGGTGCCAATGGGGTAAAAAAGGAGAAATATCTGTAACAAAAAAATAAAAAAAAAATAAAAAAAAAAGATATAATGTGTATAACTATTTTTTAAAATGTTTCATCGCAATGCTTGGCATCATGTAGATACAGCACCAATACTATTTTGGGTAAAATACAAATGTTTCTTGTTAGTAAGAAAATAAATATAACCAGATAAAGGCTACTCTATGTTGATGTGTATATGTAGTGAGTTTAATAATTATTTGGTTGGTTTCATTAGAAATAAATCAACATTTGTCTTTAGCAATACAAATAATAAATAATGGCCAAATTCTCAACAATTAATCAATTAACACATCTACATTTGAATGTGATGGATGAAAAATAGACACAACAGACATTGTAATTTACAAAGAAAATTTTAAGCCAATAAAATGATTCACCCCTATTTCTAAAGTTAGTTTACTTTTAAATTGTTTACCCTCTATAAAAAAGATAAAACTTTTTTTTTAGTAAATTAAATTTGGTTTAAGTTTTTTATATTTTCTAAATGTGTGGTGGCTACCTGATGTCACTTAGAGTACCTACCTCAAAGAAGAAAAAAGAAAAGATATATTTAGTTCACACTCATCAGTTATTGAACCTTCTATTCCCCAAAAGAAGCTAAAGATTCCATCATAGTTTACTCTAGCATAGTTATAATTAAACTAGAGGAAATTAAAGATAAATACTGTAATTAAGAACTTCGTTGTACAGACCATAGTTGGTCCAAATTAAATGCAGGTAAGAAAGTGCATTTCTGCACCTACTCAAAATGTAAAAATTACCTTTCCCAGCTTCGCTATGTCTCGGTACAAGGACAAAGGCAGAGTAAGGGCAACCGTGGAAAGCACAATAATGAAGTGGCGACCAATAAACACGTTTCCAGGATCAACTAAAACACAATATGTATTACAAAGTGTTTATGGGTATGAGTAGCACATTAGTGACAGTAAATATTGAATTATCAAAATGACTTTAATATTAAATAATATCTAAAAGACAAAGTTTTAAGAGTAAATATGCTCCATAAAACCATGTAAAACTAGAAATAATACATGAAAATATAAACACAAACTTACTTAAGGATAAACCTTTAGTTCAAATGTTAAAATATTTTACATTTAAATGATTTTAATAGCTTCCTAAGTAGTTTCCTTATTTCTACCTTCCTTTGTCTCCTTAGAGTACAGAGATCCTTTCCAAAGGCAAAAAAAGTAAGCTACACAGGGACAGAGTATTTTCTGAGGCTTTTTTCTTTTTATCTTGACCCAAGGATATAGTTACTGATTTTTTTAGAGAGAGAGAAAGACGGGAGGGAGGAAGGGGGAGAGAGAGAGAGAAACATCAATTGGTTACCTCCCCTATGCACCCTGACCAGGGATCCAACTCACAACCCAGGTATGTGCCCTGACCAGCAATTGAACCCAGGATAACGGTCCCACAAAGTGAGCCACCCAGCCAGGGCTTTTCTGGGGTTTAAAAACTTTTTTTTTTTCTATTTCAAAGAAACTTGAACAGTAAAACTTCAGCACAATTTCAAAAATAAAGATTTAGACAAAAATATTCACTATATTTCTATCCTTCTGTTGGGAATGAAGAGAGACAGAGAGAACATGTGTATATATGTGTGTGTCTATCATCAAATAAAAAAAGTGTAAACATAAATTAAAAGATACTTATAAGGATTTATGCATATTTTCAAGCCGTGCTAATCGTAGTATTTGCTTCAGGAGCTCTACATCTCTTCAGTGAAGACACTACGTTGAAGTTTCTCAGCCCACATTGAATTCCTTCACACATCATGTACTTAGAGTTTTTGAAATATCCTTAGTAGTACCACATCTTTAATTTGCGTATTTAATTCTGAGAAGTTTAAGGTCTATAGAAGGGAAGTCTGTCAAATAAGTGAGTGTAATTTAAAAAAAAATAAAATAAAGAAGCTATTACTCTGAAAAGTGAAACTAGTTTTCTTATATGGCTAATAAATTAACTAAAAAGAAAGATAGAAATTTCAAAATGGCACAAATTTTGCACACACACAAACATACATATCCACAAGAATAGAATAATTAATCATAAGTATTTAAATCAGCCATAACTAAACAATCATAAGAAAGTTGTAAATTAAAACAATAAAAGTTTAAGTTGTCAAACCCGGAATGTAACTATTTACATATTCCTGGTGAATATAATTTAAATTAAATTATCTGTATATATGTTTTTATTTACCCTTTCAAACTGCTCCCTCTATGATATATTTAATAGAAAATGTATTTTCTTCACTGAGAAAATTCTAAGGCCTAGAAAAACACTAAAATAGACTGCTACGAACAGCATGTATGAGCCTAATAACTGAGGATCTCCATTCATGTAAAGGACACTTTTCACTAATGATCCAATGATGAGATCTATCACCTATATTGATCTTTTATTTTTAATATATTTTTATTGTTGTTGTTTTTTTTTAGAGAGAGAGAAAGGGAGAGATAGAAACACTGATGTGAGAGAGAAACATTGATTGGCTGCCTCCCTCACCCTCCCCCCTCCAGGGGAATCCAGCCCACAACCCAGGCATGCGCCCTGACCCGGACCTCTCAGTCCATGGGAGGACACTCTGGCCAGGCCCTATACTGATCTTTTAACAAAAATGCACCCAAATAAGCATTCTAAAACATTTAAACAATAGTAGAAAAAAATTGAACATTGTAAAAATTTCAAAATTATCTAAACATATTACTTCTTACACCGTTTCTCATAACTTTGACTTGTATGGTGAACCAAGACTTTGGGTACCTGGAAAAAAGTATAAGCAATTGCCCATTTGCCAGTCTAAGATATTGGTGATATATTTCAGGAGAAAAAATTCAGGTTTACTAAGGATTTTATCTACTTCTAAAAATACATTGGCATCATATTAATCTTTATAAGACATACAATCATACTTTACAAAATATCACATTCAACAATGTAAAAAATACTGTGAAAAGAATAAAAGTGTGTTCTTTGCTATGTGACCTATATTTTAAAAGTCATTTTTGATTATCATAAAATTAATAACCAGGAAGGGGGTTTCAAAGGGAACATTAGTCTTATCTATGAAGTTTTATTTTTATAAAGAGCATATACAGGGATGGGCAAAAGCAGGGTTACAGCTGTTCATATGAAAAATAATACAATAATTAATAAATAATAATGCAAGTATAGCCCTGGCCTGTTTGGCTCAGCGGTTAGAGCGTCGGCCTGCGGTCCCGAGAGACCCGGGTTCGGTTCCCGCTAAGGGCGCGTACCTCGGTTGCAGTTTGTCCCCGGCCCTGGTTGGTTGTGCGGGTGGCAGCCACTCGATGTGTCCCTTCACGTCGATGTTTCTCTCTCTCTCTCTTCCTCTCTCTCCCTCCCTCTCTATCTGAACAAAAAAAAAATGTCCTTGGGTGAGGATAAAAAAAAAAATAATAATGCAAGAATAAACTCTTGAGTTTTGCACACTCACAACTATAAACGTACTTTTGCCTATTCTGAATGTATATATTATTTGTAAAATTAAAATTCAATAAAAATTAATTAATAAAAATGTTTCTATCAGAGAAAATTAATTTAATTATGGTCTATCTAACTGTGCAGTAGATACTGTATAGGAGAAGATTAAAATGTCAATTAAACAAATAGACTACATCTGTATGTTTTGATATGAGTATGTGTCCCTAGTATACTGCCAAGAGAAAAGCATATTATAGAACAAGACGTACAGCATTATCTTATTCATGTGACTATCTGAAGTTACACTCATTCTTAAAACTCTGAAAGTATACATTAAACAAGAATGAAGGAAGGAAGGAAGGGAGAAAAGAGGGAAGGATGGGAGGGAGGAGGGGAGGGAGAGAGGGAGGAAGGGAATGTTGAAAGGACTGTCCCTACTTGGTTTTCCCAAGAGGAAGAGATTATGAGTTGTTCTACCTTCTCTATTTTGTTTATCTGTGTTTTTGAATATTTTCTTAATAAATATGTATTACTTCCTAAATAACAAAATAAAAATATAAAAAATTAATACATATTCTTTTGGAAACCTTCAGAAAACGGCAAAGGAAACAAACAAAATCTCATGGGTCCCACAACGAAAAGATAACCACAGCTTACAGTGAATGTATTTTTAATAAAATTCCTTATTTACTTATGCAAATAGGAAATTTATATGATTTAGATCATATTGTCTATATGGTATTACAATATTCTCATTGTTAGTTAGCATTCTATGCACTCACATAACTAAGTGTATGAAATCATGATTTGGAGGTGGAAGACTAGGACAAAAACTGCAAATAATTCGGGGTAACAATAATACTAGCTAACAATGTTGGGGAAGCCTACTATATGCTAGGCACCGTCTGTATTAACTCTTGTTTTACATACAGATTCTATGAAGCAATTAGATACTCTAATTCATAATTTAGAAATTAAGAGACTGGAATTCAGAGAGGGCACTGACCTTCTCAAGGTCACATAGCAAGCAGGCATTGGTTTTGTGGTTTGATAGTCAAGTAGCCCTGATTCCAGCTAACCCTTCAAGAGGAATAAGTGCAATTTCTAGTGCTAGGTTTTGTTTTTCTTTGTTTTGTATGTCTTTTAGAATGGTGATTCAAGCACTAAGAGGAACGGCATTTTTGTATCATTCTCAACTACAATAACAACTATAGAGTTAGGTCACAATAACATGGGAATTATGTGGCTTAGATGAGAAGCCCTCCAAAGCACAGACTCTGAATTATTCAAATAGCCATAATATGATGAAAGGTTGAACAAGGAGCTGGGCTGTGGCACATGTTAAAAAGGTCTGCTTGAGAATGTTCATAGTTGCTTTTTCATAATCACCCCAAATTGGAAACAACCCAAATGTCCCTCAACTATGTGACAGATAAACTGTTGTCCATCTACACAATGGAATACTCCCTAGCTTTTTTTTTTTTTTTTTTTTTTTTTTTTTTTAAGAGCAAACTGTATACCAAAAGTCATGGCTGAAATTCAAATGCACTATGCTAAGGGAAAAAGCTGGACTCAAAAGGCTGCATACTATACGATGCCATTGATCTGGCATTCTGGGAAAAACAAAACTAGGCAGAGAAATCAGATACCAGTGGTTGCCAGGGCTGGAAATGAGGGAGGGTGTAACTACAAAGAGAAATAAGGAACATTTAGATGTTATGGAATTGTTTTTGTATTTTCATCATGGCTGCTGTTATAAGACTATGTGCATTTGTCAAAATTCACAAGACTATCCAATAAAAAGGGTTAATTTTACTACATTAAGTTACATATTAATAGAAATAGTAGGGGGAAAGATCAGCTTGCTTATTGAAGAAATGGTGTAATAAAAATAGCACATGAGAAAATGTTACTAACAGAGCTGGTGATATCTAGCATTATATATTTCAAATATAAAGTATTTTAAATATAGTAATAATATTTATTATCATAATAGTTAACTATTAATTGTAATACATATTATTGTTAATTCTTACTATTATATAAGGGCTAGTTTAATAGTAATAATATTACTAAGTATAGCAATAATAGTAATACTCTTTTTAAACAGCTAAATAAGAATTAAACTATATATACAGGTAGATTAACACTTTAGGATCAGAACAGATCTTGGATATTGCCAGATATTTAAAGTCATCCATCTCTCAAACTTGCAAATATTTTACTTATAAATTATCATGAACCACATTAACTATGAAAAACTATAAAAAATAAATATATTTACTTACTTCCTGGGATTCTTTGGAAAACTTTGCTCAAAGTGTCTCCGGTTACTATGTTGTAACTTATCATAGCTAAATACATAATTAAAATAATACAGTCACCAACAATTTACATCTTGAATCTTTTGAAAATAATCAGTTACTACTTCCCAAATATTGGCATAATCTTACTACTTTCAAATATATTTTTTGATGATCAACATGTACAACTTTAAAAATAACTAGACAACAGATTTATGGGAGAATATAAATTCATATTAGAACATTTTTTTTCACTTTATAAATTGATTCTTTCTAAGCATCTTAAAATAATAGTGAGGTTTGGTAGTCATTTAAAATGTGATTTACTAGTCATTAAAATTCAGTTTCCAAAAACTTTTTCAGGAACACATGTATTGCCGGAAGTGAGGAATAACAACAGAAAATTGTTAAGGCTCCAAAATATCTCCTTGTTTACAAAGTAAGATTTGGGGGAAATAAATTCTTCTTTGGTGGAGACATTGAAAACTAGAGGTTTAAGCAATAGCTTCTGTATTACTGGTTTAAAAACTGAAGTCAATTTGGCATTGTTGAATGTTAACATTTTATTTAAGAAGTGCTCGGTGACATTTTCACCATTATGGTACAGACTTTAAATAGCATGTTGGCCTTGTACGTGGTGGCTTCTACAAACCTTGGGTTTTCAAAAATTGGATTTCAGCCTTTGAAGAAATATACTGTTTCTCTCACTTGCTTTTGATCCCAGATCATTCTATTTTTCACCAAACTAGGGAAGCACAAGCATTAACCTAATCAAAATCACTCATTTTATTTTAATGAAATACTCAGGAAACCAAACAAAAATAAGAAAAAAAAAAAAACACACTTAATTTGGAATATATTTCAACTACTAAGATAACTATGCAATGACTATTAAAACTATTTTATTTGGAAATGGCAGTATGTTTATGCAAACAAGTATAATATGCATCTTCAGAGTAACTCACCTATAAAAGGATACAAAAACTGTAGAACAGAAAGGAGGCAATACCCTGGAAAGCCAAAGGTTTTATTGACCAAAGACTGGTAAGAGTCTGTTCCAGAGAGAGTCCCTCCTTTTATCAATAAAACAAGGGAAAAGTCTGTGGCAAAAATAACAATTAAACAGATATTAGATTACATTTAATACAAAAGTTTTTCATGTTTTGACTTCAATAAAAAGGGAGTATATTAAAAAAGAGTTTAATTTAAAGCTATAGTAAATTAGCATGGCAAGCCTACTTCCTTTTCATAAAACATAACTTTTCATGAAATGGTACTGTTTCCAGTTATTTATTTTTTTAATCAAGATGCAAGTATACTTAACAATCCATGCAATGAACTGGACAGAAGAAGGTACACAGACTAGAGTCAAGCATCAGTTTTGCATTTTACTTCCTAACTAACCAATGCAAAGACTATTAATAGGATGTGGCTCAACCAGCCATGCAACAGAATATAGGTAATCAGTGTTTCATAGACATCCAACATCTGAAGACTTAGAACAAAAAATTCTGTAAGCATGGATAAAAAAGTAGATATATGAGACTCAGATAATTTGTTTTATAACAAAGTACAACTAGTTACTATTTTACAGTTATTATGGTTAAAAGAGCAAGCTAAGAATTTTTTTTTGGAAATTTACAATTTAGAGATTTAAGTTGCCATTTTAGAGTTGAAATTGAAGGTATAAATATATAGCTATTATATAATTAAAAGTTCATATTTTTTTCTTCATTTAACTCAATGAACCTAGTGAATAACATTTAACCTAGTGAACAGCAATGCAATTGTACTGGGTACACAGCTATGCCCAGGATGTGATTCTTGCCCTTGTCTCTTGCTCATGTTTCCACCACAGGTAATTTCTATTTGTCCTTTAAGTAATTTGGAAATGCATTTAAGGACAAAGATGAAAATACAAATAATTATACTATAGTGTCCACCCTGATTCCCTCCCACATCATTGAAACTTCCTTCAAGTTCTGCAGTAAACTCCAAGTTGATAAATACAATTGACACGCCCTAAATATTAATCTTATTTGCTCTAAATAGGTAATATTTTTTTCCTGTTTACCTATCTGCTCTTTTTCAACCACCTTCCCTTGGCCTTTGCGACATTACTTTACTTGGATTTCCTCCAACCTTTTTGGCCATTTATACTCATTTTTTCACCAGTTTTTTACAATTCTGGATTCTTAGACTTTTTTCTTACTCTTCAAGATGTCCTATGTGATCTTGTTCATGTCTATGGTTTCAATTTTCCCAAAGATGTTAGTAACCCCTAAATTTGCATCTCTAGCCCAGGCTCCAAAACTCCAGATTTCTATATCTAGCTGCCTAATAAACATTTTACATCGAAGATCTCATAGACATCTCAGTGTTAAAATATACAAATTCTAATTTATATATTTGTTCTGGAACCTGCTTCTTCTCCAGTCCCTGAATAGTATTAACAGAAATTTGAGAATCACCTAGACTTCTCATTATCCATCATCTTCTATATTCCTTTGGTCACCACGTCCATTACTGCATCATACATTATTCAACTGTATCTCCTCATTTCTAATCTTTAACTTGCTTTATTTGGGGGCTTGGGTCTTTATCATATACCATTTGGATTATTGCAATAACCTCTAAATAGTTTTCTCATCCACCAATCTTACTCCCTACCAAAACATTTTTGACATCTGCTAAGACCTTCTCAACTTTTCCCCTCAGATGGGTCTGACGATATCATAAATCTGATCATGTCTTCTGCTGAAAATATTCCAGGGGACCCTCTAATGCCTTTGAATAAAAATCAATTTCTTTTTTATGAGGTAAAAAAAAAATTATTTATTAGCTGTGTGACCTTGGGTGAAGGACTGACTTTTCTGAATTATTATTATATCACAACCACAAAAAATGCTAGCAAATACTTACACAATATTTCCTGTGGGCAAGGCCTTTTTCTAAAGGCTTTACATATATTAACTTGTTTAATCTTTACAACTATCCTAGGTAGGTGCCATTATTAGCCCCATTTAGTGAATGAGAAAAGGGAGGCCCAGAAGGTTAACTAAACTGCCGAACTTCACAGAGGTAGCAATGGAGCAGTCAGGATTCAGATCCTGGTAGTCTGGCTGCAGAGTCCATATACTTAACCAAAATCTCAACTCTGTTGCATGTAACTGTAGACCTTGGGCAAGTCATTTTAATCTATTAAAATTTCAGTTTCCTCCTCCATAAAAGTAGAACATGAGTACCTATTTCATGGAGTCAAAGGACTTCAGGAAATGGTAATGATGAGAGCCTTCATAAATGCCTCTCCAAACCTCTCTATCAGCATCTCCCTCTACTTACAAATGTCAACCCTACACTTTAACCAGACTGAATATTGACTCAGTATCCTCTTGTGTTTCTGTACTTTCATCTGCTTAGAGTGACCTTTCATTTTCTTTGCTCACTCATGTATTTTCATAAACACTCAGTGCAGGTCTCTCTCTTCCCCCAAACCTGCCCGCTCCTTTGAGGCTGTGTTAAATGCCAATGTCCCTATCATCATGCACATATTTTAATTATGGTATTTTCAATAAAATATTGTAACTATGTATTTTTGTCTGCCTGACACACTACACAGTGAGCTTCCTGTAGGTAGGGATAATGCTCTTCATGGAGACAATGGCAGCAGTGTCAGTAAATATTTTTGAAATCAATCCGTGATCAATATACAGCAGGATTCAAATTTAATTTGATAATGACACAATAAATGTATTAAAAAATATTCTGCAAGCACAAAGGGCATAGGAATGAATTCTAATTCCTTTGTTTAAACCTAGGAAAAGTTTCACCAAAGAGTTGAGTATTGCCCTGAACGATGAACAGGATTTCACCAGGTGGAGAAAAAAACAGTTGAGCAGGGGGACTGTCCACGGGAAGGCAGCGTGAAAGCATATTCTATATGTGAGGAATGAAATAGTCCAGAACAGGTAAAACCTAAGGTGCACACATGGCAGTGTTGGTGATAGAGTAGTTGGAGATGAGACTGAGAATTCAGACTGTGACTACACTATGAAGGAATTTGAATGCAAAATTTTTTTTTTTTCTCTTGTAGTATGGAGTCTTGGAATGCTTTGATTGAGGGAGTAACAGTGATCAGGTCGAGGTTTTATAGAGATAACTCTTACAGCAACATGGAGGACAGATCAGAAAGTGAACTGATGCTAAAGGCAATAACACAGCAACTTACTGGCCAAAGAAGACAATCAATGAAAACCTGAGTAACAGAGAGGAGGTAATCAATTTCACAGATGTTGTAAATTTTTGGTGAAGAACTGTATGCTTGGAATGAGAATGCTGAGTTTCATAAAAGTTCAAAATGTACTGCTTGAGGTTAACAATTTGCTGGGAATTTAGTCAATAATAAATGTAAATGATTCCATCTGCTTTTAAAATACAGACTATAAATATATTATCTTAAAAGTTTTAAGAATCTCAAATATCAATCACTATAACATTTTAATTTCAATTAAAATATACAATATGCAAATTTTAGGTAATCCATGAATGAGTCTATGTTATTCAACATGAAAATTTTCTTTTAAATCATTGTATATGCTTGGACATACATATAAACAGAACTTTGAAAAACCACAAACCACCTGCTGAACAGGTCATATCTCATTAGAGGTTTTAAAAAGATAAAAGAATAATAGTAGAGACAAAGCGGTGTGTAATTACAGTGTCAATTTAAAGAAAAATTTAATATTATATGCCACTTGTACATTTTGCTCTTAAAAGCCTAAGTAAAAAACAAAATGAATTATGTCTCTAAATCTTTTTGCTTTTGTGTGGTTAGCCTTTATCAAAATTATTAAAGGATTTTGATCATATAACTAAATTAAAGAGTTAAGTAATTTCCACTGATTAATAACTTTGCAATATCTGACTTTGCAGAGGACTGCTCACAGTGGGTGTATATATAGTATCAGTTGAGAAAGTTATTTGCAGTATTATTTATGTTTGTATACTATGATTTAGCTTTAGTAAACTGTTCAATCCCCTCAAGTATTGAATTCTTAGGTGATCTATATATTTTAATTTATTTAATGAGTGTAAATATTTACAATGCACTTAAATAAGCCAAGGTTATTATGCCCATGTGGAAATTAATTATTTATCAGTGCTAACTGACTGGGAAGCAGGACATTAGGAACGACAAGGATAAATCTTTGAATGGGATTTTTTAGTGCGATCAATGATCTTATGAACAGAATGCAATTTTTAAACACCAGCAACTCTGAATAAGCCCAAAGTTATGGATCCCACATTACTAACTTACAAAGTAAGCCACAAGTTAAGAGCTGCAGAAGCTAAAAGCAGCTTAGATTTTGGGGGGTGAGAAGCAGGCAGGGAGACGGGAGCCCGGTGCCTTCGCAGCTCTGACTCAGGCATGTACTGGATGCTTTACTGTCTCTTCCTCAGCCTGAGAAAAACAGCAGTTACCGGCTGGGCTTGGAAGCCTGGGAGTTTATGAGAGAGCATCTTGGTAGGGTCTCCAGAAGCAGAGCTGAGATAGAGATGCTTGGGCAAGGGACTTGAGGGATGCTCCCAGGAGAAGGGGATTGAGAGGACAGGGTGGGGAAAGAGCTCGCAAGGATGAGGTCCCAGGTGGAGAGCAGCTGCAGCTTCGCCCTGCAGTGGTGGTGCCCTGGGGCTCGCGCTGCACCACACATTGGTCCCTGCTGGAGGCAAGCTTCCTAAATCAGTCAGTCATTGACTGAAGGCTGTGGGGAAACGGCAGCTGGGGGTCATAACCTCACAGCAAGGTGGTGCCACTGAGGCCCAGGTCAGCACCTGGAGAAGGGGACCCTGAGGTGTTTTGCATTACCTGGTAAAAAGGCACCTAGGTGACTACGCATAGCGGCCACCACAGCAGCAACCACAGCAGGTGGTGTCTATTTGTGATTGCTGCCTCTTTCACAGTGATCCTAAGGTAGAGAAAAGATCCCGTATTTGTCACGATGTGAGTTGATAGAATGACAAAGCAGAAATGAGGACAACAGGAATACAGCTAATTATGCCTTGTATACTCTGCAATTAGACGGGGGAGTGGCAACACGTGGGTGTGAATGAACATGTTCCATGAAAAGGGGGAAGCTAAGAGAAGCAGTGCAAAAGCACCGTTTGCTGCACTCAGGACGATGGCAGTGGGGGCCTGAGCAGGCAGGGGCAAGGCGGGAATGCCGGGCTTTCGGTTCCACCCGTACAGACAGAGCTGGAAAACGCTGCTCATTCATGCGCACCTGCCATGGTCACTGTGGGAAAGGAAGTCCTGATGACTATACTTTCATAGCACAGTTGTCTTAGCTTTAATTGGCCTTTGGAATAAATGACTTTCCCACCTACCACTTTCTGCATCAAGTGAAAGGCACATGAAAAGGATTTAGGCTTGGTGATACATAATGCTTTTCTAATCTGTTCAGAGGATTAGCAAGAAAAGTAAATCTCCTGAGACATAATGTCTAAATCGTTAGGATTCTTTGATCCAGTAACATTAGTAACTTCAATTACAGGGAGTGGGAGTGTGTGTGTGTGTGTGTGTGTGTGTGTGTAAAATAGCCCTTGTGCAATTTAAGTTGCAGGAATTAGTAATTATATAGTATTTTACCTGTAACAAATGAAACCCAGAAAAAAAGCAATATTCCCAGAGGAAAGCCAGCTTGCTTCATTGAATATGGCAATCCTGAAAAAAACATAAAATGCCCCACCCATTGCATTAATAAAATATACAGAATTTTTCCCAATTCCTGTATAAAATAGGCTAAGTAAAGTGACATACTTCTGACATAATTATAAACAGTGCATATGACTTCTAAAATTAAACATTATTATACTAACACTCATTTCTGAATAAAATGTCATAAGTTAAGGACTTGGTAAGAGAGCAAGTTTATGAGGTGATGAAATAAGAATACGAAAGAAGCAAATGAAAAATATACACCAGTTCACACAAATAATGTTCACCTCAGGGTGATGGGATCACATGAGCTGGAATGAGGAGAGTAACAACCCAACGCTCTCTCCCTGAGCTTCCTGGGAAAGCAGAGGGATTGACAGAGCACAGAGGTCGTGGGAGCTGAGGAGTGAAAATGGGCAACCAAGTAGGAGAAGGAGAGAAAAGCGAGAAGGCAAAAGTGTTTTTATAAAGCTGAAGAGGGTAATATAAAATATTTTCTTATGAAGTCTCTGGAAAATGAATCATTTTAGGTTATGGACAATAAAATATTTAAAGTAGAATACATTTAAAATATTTTCACCCACAATTTTACTCTCTGAAAAATTTTCCCTTAAAACAGTCGCTGAGCAGATTAAGAGACACTTGAAATGTTGCTGACACAGATCAGCTTCAAGTGTTCACATCAGGCATTGAGTCTGGAATTCTTCCACGCAGAGCTGCCTGCATCTCTGGGGTACACGGAGGCAAAATTCCAAAGAAGTCTTTCACCCTATTTGTTACTACTTTGCCTTTGGTAACTCCACTTGATGTACCATGTGGAAAGGAAATGATCTACATGTAGAAACAAGCAAAATAAAAAAGCACATCAACTTGTGAAAGGTAAGAAAAGTAACAGGATCCAGAGAAATATTCAATGATGACTGTGACTAAAATGTCAGAACTTTACAGAAAAAAGAAATACGCTCAATGAGTAGTGCAGAATTCTGTTTGTCCCTACTTTTTTGTTAAATGCGAAGTTTTCAAATAACAAAAGCAATAGTAATTATGATTACTATAATGTGATGCACTTGAGTTTGTCATAATTTCCCCCTTACTTCAAAGTGAGAAAATATGAGCTGCCCATTTCTTTCAATTATGATTTGGCTTCTCTGTTAAAAAAAAAAAAAAAATCATATGTGCTTTCATCTAACCAATTTCTATTTATTTATTAAATGATATTTAAAATTAGTATAAGTAAATAAGTTTGTACTTTAAATTCAACACTATATAGACAGGTAAAGAAATATGGTATGAATTTAAATTTTTTACCAGATTGTTACGTTTTCATATTAAATTTTTGTACCTCTAATACTTTCAAATATCTGGACGTTTTATACCTCTAAAAGGTCATCGAAAGGTGATTTAGTAATGATGGACACTTCCAGAAGAGGGAAAAAAGTAAATCAGGTAACATTATCAATTGACTAAGCAGCCTATAAAAAAAAATGTCAGCACTTTTTGTATGAAGCTCCAGCTAACTTCACACACGTGGAGGATGCGCTCAAATGTAGAAACAGTGTGGACCACAGCCCAGTCTTTGGGAAAAGGAGGATTGATGGGATGCCTGTTGTTGCACTGGATTATGAAAGAATATCACCAATTTATCATTTAAGAGCTTCACTTTAAAAAAAATCAGTGAACACTAACAACATAAGTCTTAAATTTGGCCTCTTCGCTTAAAATGAAAAAAACAACAAAGCAACTTACCTATTATACCAGATCCTACAATAGAGTTGACAACATTAAAAATAGCAGCAGACTGACGACCACTTTTCTCTTCCTGCTTATGTTCAGAAACGAGGATCTCTTTGTCATCTAGATGGTTCTATTTAACATATAAAATGGCCAAGAATATATAGAAGTAAATGAATGTTTACTAGCTCAAAAAACAGAAAAGTGTCAGACAAATATGCAATGTGATAGAAGAACACGATATCAGGAATGATAACATCAATCACGAGAAGAAAATAATGATGAGGGCAATAATAAAGAGTAACAGTAATTGCTAGGGCCCCAACAGAGCTTTGTAAACAAACTGCACCCTAAAATGTCCAGCTTCACCAAGTTCGCAGGCTGCTCCACGGAATCCCAGGGTCAATCCCAGATCTGTTACGGAGCCAATGATGTGATTTGGTGAAATTAAAAGAGTTACATTAAATAAGGTAAAGTGCCTGCCAAGAAAAAAACTACAAGTGAGATCATGGTACAATTTTCTCCCGGAGAACTAACTCCCGGTGCTGCTAAGCCAGGGCCCGGCTGGAGGTACGCTGACCTCTGCTTGCAGGGCGAAGGGAGCCTGGCTTCAGAACCTGCCCCAGCGCCCCGCTTTACCTGTGTCGGGATGACGGGCTGCTGCCCCTGGTAGCTCATGGCCGCACCCGGGTCCTTAGCAGGTGAAAGGTCAGCGGTCTTGGGTCCCCCGGTCTAGAAGGACCAGCCCCTCCGCGACCTCTCACTCCGGGGTCTGCGCGCGGCGGGACAGCTGGGTCTGCGGTTACTCGGCGCCTCTGGCCCCACCCCCGCACCTCCGCCGCCGCGGGGCCCGGGGCCGCCGCCCCCTTGCCCCGTCCAATGCACCTCCCTCCCGCCGCGGAGATGCTACAAGACGGTCTGTTCTGGGCAGCCCTCTCTCTTACCCTCCCCAACCCCAGCTCCAGCTGCAAAGTATAATTTGTTCTGCCCACGACGCCTGCCCAGGTAGTTCAGTTACGATGGCCTAATTTAAGTCCTTTCCCAAGTGAGCTGCTCCTTGGCTGGAGACTGATGCCCAGGTAAGAACGCGGTAGCACCCCCCAACCCCCATCCTCCTCTCTACACCGCTTCGATGGCCAAGATGACAGATGAGAAGGCAGGCTTTTTACTTTAAGTGGTAAACAAACAACTTTTCCAGAGTTTTAGCAAACTCGATGACCGAACATCCTTTGTCAAATGTTTCCTGTGACTTTTCAGAAAATGAGACTTAAAGAGGGGACAGGAAGATGAATTAATAACACTAAATGAGTGAACCTTAAAGGTGTGTAAGGTGATGGGTAAAAGAAGACACCTGCAGTATCTGAGCTAAAAAGATCTTAAATGACCATTTATTTACCCTTTTATGTTACAGATGAGAAAACAGAGCCAGGGGACATTCAGTCACACAGAGCCAGAACACAGAGAGCACTTTCGGGGACAGTAAGAGTAGTAGTGTAACAGTACTTGTCAAATAATTAAAGAGGTTATTTTTCATAGACATTTATTAAAATTTATGAACCATTTTAAAAACATGGAAAAACAAAAGAGAATTATAAAACACCATATACTCTCTACCATCAAATGAACAAATGTTAGCATTGTATCATATTTTCTTCAAATTGTAAAAATAAACATGTAATATGACAATAGAAAGCCCTCTGCTCATCCCATTTCTTCCCCTTCATCCCTAGAGTCATCCAATTCATGAAATTGGTGTGTATCTTTTCCATCCATGCTTTCTAGTTAATCCATCCACTTGTAGCCATAAATGATATATAGCATTGAGTTTGTTCAGCTTTTTACTTGTTTTTTACGTTGGAGTGGAGTATTCCAGCTTCTGGCCCCTGCCTCCTGTATGCAGCACTGGAAACTAGAAGGTCACTGTACATATTTTAATGATTTTTCTTAAAGACTGTTTCAAAACAGTCTGAAATTTTATAATTTCAAAAATATTTTTAATATAATTTCAAAAGTACTATAGTCTCAATGAGAAAACATGAAGAAGAAAGAATAGGACACAGAGAATCACCCAAACAGAGGAAAACACAGCTAATGTTTTAGAACCCTATAGTACACTCAGATTTTACAGTGTGTGAGGTAGAAGACAGATGCATTTTACATGCACACAGCAGTTTGATTGAGTCTGTCTTTGCCCCAGATACAAGCCAGGGAGCTAGACTTTCAGGAATGTAGAGAGCCTTAATTTGAACTTTTTATCAGATTGCATAATTACGTAGCTAGTATATTGTGCTCATGTAGTCTTATTACTTTTCTTCATTATTTGGTTACAGTCCAGCCTCCCTGACCTCTAAGAGCATCTAGCTGTCCTAGAAATTGCCAGACAAGGATCTCTCTTGGCAGAATTTATAAAGCTCTGAATTTATAAAGCTCTTCTTGATGGCTAACCTGACTCCTTTCTGACATTGCTAAGGTTCAAGTGTGGATGAGAATAGAGATAAAACCTTTCAGTCCTCATCCCTAGGGAAGTTACTTTTTCCTCAGCCTTGGAAAGGAGTCTGAAGAGGGGTATACTTTTGGTTTTTTGTGAAAATGGCTGCTTGATATTCTCTACAGTATTTGATTATATTTGGTTATTGGCTTAGCTGCTGTAACAAGTGGAACCTTTTTGTATGCAGGGTTTCAAACAAGATAGACCTTTCTTTCTCTTTTGTTTTTTTAACTTGCCAAAGGTAGGGATTCTCAGTCTTTAGAGTTCTGGAAGGAACTGCTTAGAGATTTTTGGCTAAGTAATAAAAATATGTTCTTTCTCCTTTTTGCATTAATCATCTTATAAAATCGTTCTTGTAACTATCTTCTATGATCTATATGTCACTCATTATCAAGGAATATCTTATTCTTGTGATACCATATTATTATTATTTCATAATTTAGGTATTTTTGTTATTTTCTAAGTATAATTAATAGAATTAAGTAAAACTATTATAATGTCATTTCTGGTTAGAAGTCAGGGGGAATGGGGCACTGAAGAATGAGGTTAAATTAATGTGACTATAAACCCTCGTTTGTCCAGGACCGTCCTCGTTTAGGCTTCTTGTCCCAGTGTAATTATGAATAACATCTTTTTTTTTTTTTTTTTAAATCTCAAAACTGTCCCAGTTTGAATGATAGGTTACAATGCTATGCAACAAGGCACATGGATAACAGTACCTCATGATATCTGCCTAGCACTTCACAGTTTTCTCTGGTGTTGTCCAAGCTGAGAAGGGATGGAAGATCTAAAAACACAGATTTTGGTTAATTTTTGAGTCAATATTGTAGGTTAGAAGCTCAGGCTCTGGAATTTTTTTAAAAACCTAGATTTTTATTCAAAGCTTAAGGGATCTTCACAAATTGCTTAACTTTTTGAGTCTTAATTTCTTTTTCTGTAGAAAGAGAATAGCTCAGCCAGTGTGGCTCAGTGGTTGAGCACAGACCCATGCAGCAAGAGGCCGCTGGTTTCATTCCTAGTCAGGGCACATGCCCAGGTTGTAGGGGCCCGATCCCAGTGTGGGGCATGTAGGAGGCAGCTAATCAATGTTCTCTCTCATTGATGTTTCTATCTTTCTTTCCCTCTCCCTTTCTCTCTATCTATAATATCAATAAAAAATTAAATAAAAAAAGAGAAGAATAACAGTACATCTTTCATAGCAGAAGTTGTGGGAATTAAATGAGATAACCGATTTGTGTTAGTTTCCTATAGCTGCTGTAACAAATAACCATGAACTGGGTGACTTAAAAGAGCACAAATTTATTCTCACAGTTCTGGGGTCCAGAAGTCTGAAATCACGGTATCATCAGGGCCATGCTCCTCCTGAAATCTACAGGGGAGAATATTTTCTTGCCTATTTCTAGCTTCTGGCGGTTTGCCAGCAATCTTTGATGTTTCTTGGCTTGTAGATGCATCACCCTAATGTTCCATCTTCACATGCCATTTTCTCTCTTTCTGTGTGCTCTTCCCTCCATGCATGTCTATGTCGGTCTCCATCTTCTTCTTTTTATAAGGACACTAATCATATTGGAATAGGGCCCCACTCTAATGACCTCATCTTAACTTGACAACACCTGCAAAGACACGATTTCTGAATAAAGTCACATTCTGAGGTCCTGGGGTCAGAACTTCCATATATCTTATTTGGGGCACACAGTTCAATTCATAACACTATTTTAAACAAATTCAGTTAATGACTTGGGACATAATATGTTCTCAATAAATGTTTGCTGCTGCTATACCCAAACATAAAAATTCTTTGTTAGGCCAGAATTGTATAATGTAGAGAGAGATTTGGCTATTGTCTGCCATTTGGCTCTAAATAGCTGTTCTCCTTTCTTCTGTCACAATAGAGCCTCTGATTTTTATCTGGACCATGGCCACCTAAAAGGATGAGTAAAATTCACATCTTCACTTACTAATGGTTGTGGTTAAGTTCTGACCAAGAGGATGTAGGTCGAATTTATATACCTTTTTTTGGTTTCTTCATACTAGCTGGAGCTTTATCCTGGACCAACCACCAGTTGGGAACTTCATATTGAAGATGAATAAGTAACAAGATAGAAGGTGCCTGGGTCCCTGGTGGATATGCTAGATCTGGATTGTTCAGGTAATGTGAGAAGGAAATAAACTTTCATCTCATTTAAACTTCTGTTATTTGGAGTTTTCTGCCATTTACATACAAACCTAATCCTTATTAATACCTCCTATGGATACTAAGGCTGTGATTCTAATAGCCAAAATGATTAATTCAATCCAGATATTTTTTTAAATAACAGCACCTAAGGAGGTTCTCTAGTTGAGCTCCTTGTGGAAATAATAAAAAAGTTCATTGTACTTAATTAAATTCTGTATCAATATATACACTTTACTATTAAATGCATATATAATAAACTATAAGTCATTAGATTCTGATATTTTTAGTTTTTCCTCATTAATGAACTGATAAAAAGCTCGGCTAATATGGCCAGGGAAATACTCTGTGGATGTGATATAGGTCCCCTTCTGTGTGTCCCATGCTGGTTTTATTCTTAGATCATTTGGTGTCTGGTCAGCACTGGTGGTCCATGTGTTGCTTCAGGGTCTGCATCACTTATTACAGGAAATCATTATTAGTCTTTAATCACTAGCCTGAGGACCAACCCAGCAAAACTGTAGCTCTGACTCTTCCTTAAGTGCACTCTCAGCATCTACTGCTCTACTGCCTGTATTTTCTACACATGTGATAAAGAGTGCAATTTAAAGTCTCTATGCAACGAAGTGTTTCAATGAGAATCAAAACTCCAATTGATCTATGTGTGTGCAGCTTACAATCTTTACTTCGTAAGATCAGAACCATTTTCCAAGCTTCCGAAGCTGGAGGTGAGCAGCTATTACCACTTCATACCCACTACAATGCAAAGAACATAATGCAAGACAATAGGGGAGCAAGCTGAGATTTGTCCTCCAGTGGTACCAGTTTTTATCACTTGATAAATATGCCCAAGCACATATAAAGTGACCGTGTTGAAGAAATGAAATTGGGTGCTCTATGCTCTTTCATACCTTTTAGTCAAGGGACTCTATGGAGGTTACACGGGGATAAATAAGAGCTGGTTTACCTATTTTGATCTTCCTTTTCTTTTAATATAGTTAAATTTGCAATATTTTAATTCTGTATCAGTTGAATTAAACAGGGAGAAAGGAAATTGTGTACCCTCATTTGGGCTGGCTAGGAAGATCAGAGGCTTG